TAAAAAAAAAAAAAAAAAGTGAATCCATTTGTGTATTTAGTAAGAAGACATTAAATGTTTTTTTTTTTACATGCAACGAGTGTAAATACTTTAATTTGAATCGATTTCAGCCTCTAGTAACCCCTTGTATTGAAGCAGCCAAACTGGTAGAGGGAGGGATCCTGGACTCTGCTACGTAAGCATGTGCAGACACGAGGAAAGAGCAGAGAGATGAAAGAGAGACCTCATTAGACTGTTGCTGCCCCTTCACTGTCCAATGGTGGGCAAGGGGTTTGGGGAGGTGGCCATACTGGGCGGCTTAACCGCCGTTGAGAAAAGTCAAGTCACCAGGCCTGCCTCTTTGGACTGTTCCATTCTCAGGACTGGGTGGGCAGAAACGCCAACGATCTGGTGTTCACCGTGTATGTATTTCAGCAGTTTGCCTGGAGTTTAGCTTTAAATAATGCAGGACAATGGTGCACCCGAAGCAACCTTAAAGACAATGGAAGTATGTAGCCATACTCTGTGTTAGCATGCTCATTTTCAGGCGCTGCCAAATACGTACTGCTGTTCTAAAAAGGCGAGGCGCAGTACCCACAAAAGTATTATAGACGTTTACAAAATGCACAAGCCTTTTCTCTACATACGTGTTATGCATTGTGTGTCTTTGTCGTCCTTTATTTATCTTTAGACTTTATTCCGCTTAAGGACATCTTAAAAATTCTACCAAGCACTCCTCCGAGTCAATCGTCGCGGCAGATTTCCATCAGTTCGGTCCACTAGCCAAGCCTTGAAAAACAAAAACAAAAAAAAGTCTGCCGACCCCCCATATCTGTTATTCATGAAGAAGGTTTCATCCACACCAGAGTCAGACAATCACTGCCCTAGGAGGGGGAAGACACCGAGAGAAGCACACCGCCGGCGTTCAAGACACGGCAATAAGGACTGAGGAGAGATGCTTCAGAAATTAAGTGACCTCCTGCATGAGCCTTGAAAATACCAGCAGTAAAGGGAGTCAACTGCCATAAAAAAATGAAAGGAAACAAAAAACAAAAACAATTGCCCCCACCCCCGCCTAGGAGGGAGAGAATCTTTTTTTTTTTTTTTTCTTCTGTATAATACGACGTGTAAAGTGTAATATAAGATGATAACGATGGTCATTAGAAACCAAAAAGGAGGATGACAAGCTACTGATCCTGCAGATGCCAGCATGTTCCTCCTCGGTTATAAAAGAGAAAAACAAAAAACATATTGACACACCAAGCTGAAACTGAACTATGCATGGGATATCAAATGGAATGGTGGCCGGGGTGTTTCATTTGGATAAAAGGGCTCAGAAATGTGGAAAAATAATAAATAATAAAAAAAAACAACAACATTTACATACACTATAAAACTTGACAAGATGATGCAAATACAGTTTAAATGCAATTACTTTTTTTATGGGTTTTTTTTTTTCCCATTTAAAAAAAAAAAAGATGTTTCCCTGTGCTTCAAAACTATTGGTGTAATGTAAAAACACAGCTTTCCATTGGGCAGGGCCACAGTAGATTGTAACACCCCCGGGGCACTCCTGGGTGCGATGGCTCACAGTGATGATGTGATGTGGAGGGGTTTAACTTGCTTTAGGCCATGCGTTATGTCCAGCATCCCTGAAGAGTAACTTGTAACTTTGGTTGGTGCAGGGGCGGGTCCAGAGTCTAGTCTCGGGAGGGGCACTGCCTCTGTGTGCACTGACTCTCCTCCGGCTCTTCCCCTTCCACTGTGCCCATCTCTCTCCTCTCCCGCCACTGCCTTTGTGTCCACTGACCCCCCCTTCAGCTCTGCCACTGTGTCCACCTCTCTCCCACCACTGTCTGTGTTCAAGTGTGTGCAAGTGCGGGAAGTGCAGCACAGGCGAACGAATTGCAAGTGCGGGAAGTGTATCACACACACTCCCTTATGAGTAATGCAGATGGATAAATTAAGCAGTTTCAAGCAGGAATATTCCACATGCAATCAACTTGATAGCAGAACAGCGAGAGGATGTTTTATATCAGAGGGAGTATTTCATAGACAGTCATTTGGTATTGCGTTTGGCATATTTAGTACTTGGGGTTTAGAAGTATTGCACTGGCAATCGATCTGGAACTTCGGACTTATCCCCAGGTAGCCTTGTTAAGAGTCCTTTGGAGTGAATGATCTCTGTGGTTGCTAAGTGCAACGTAATCCCAATAGGCAGTCAGGGGTGCTGCTCCACAAAGGTAGAAATGGCATGCAGGAATTAAGATCCAGTAACTCTGTCAAGGGAGTGAAGTTTGAGATTGAGGCAGTATTCAGAGTCTGCAGAGATCAGGGTGTCTGAGGCAGGTGGGAGGAAGGTGTACGATCCAGTAACTCTGTTAAGGGAGTGAAGCTTGAGGCAGGTGTGAGACAGGTATAAGGCAGGTTCAGCGTGCGGGGTAGGAACGGTATTTCCCGGTGTCTTCTCCCTTGCTCGAACACCGGGGGAAATTAATTCTGCAGCTTAAAAAGACAGAGGAGGAGGGGCCTGGTGACGTCAGCGATGACGTGGCGGAAGCCTGTGCCAATCACAGAGCAAGGGACGGGTAAGTCTGCTACATAGATGAAAGTATACACTAACCAGTGACTAACCAGTACAGATATTCCTAGTAGTAGTGAGTCACATTCAACTGGACATGGTCTGTAACGTTGTAGACGTTTCGCAACTCATCCAAGGAGCTTGCTCAGCTCCTCAGGTCTTTCTCAGTCTATTTCCCTGTGCTTCATAACTTTTGGTGTAATGTTAAAACATAACTTTCCATTGGGTGGGGCCACTGTTGTTGAAA